TAAGAGTAATAATTATTCAAAATGTTGACTCTTTGTGGAGAATGTACTGGAGGGGGTGAAATGATATTGTCCATTTTCACACCTAACCTAGCAGTGATGCAAATATTACGATTTGCAAAATCAAATTATCGTTTTTCTTTCTATGCAGAAAATATTTTTTTCTATTTGAAAATTTCTACCTTTTGTGTAGGAGGTACTAGAAGGAGTGGGCCGACCACCAGACTTTGGGTTAATAAAGATATTGAGATGTGTGAAATTTTAAATAGATCATTTTAAAAGAGTTATAATTTTTTCATAATTTTGAACCTTTGTGTGAAAGGTACTTCATGGAGTAGACCAATATTGTCCGTTTTCGCACCTGATCTAGCAATGATGCAAACATTAGGATTTGCAAAGTTGGAGCAAAATCGAATCATCCTTTCTTTTTCTATGCAGTAAAATATTTTTTTTGAAAATGTCGACCTTTTGTGCCTGATGTACCAGAAGGAGTTTGATAATGATATTACGATGTACCAAGTTTGGATCAAATCGGATACTCCTTTCGAGAATTATAGTGCGCACCAACCAGACAGACTGAAGAAAGGACGTAGCTAGATCGACCTCAAATGTCCTGAAACGGAATTGGACCAAAGAGACCTTGGATCTAAAACCGTTACTTCGCTGAGGCACGTTTTGGGCGTATCAAATGATATATACCCTGTGTAGCCAGGGTATAAGAATACAAATTCAAGTGACCTATAGGCAAAATTTGAAGATGCTTAGTTTGCAAACTCAGTTCAGTTATAAACACCTTTTTAGTACGAATTTTCAAAAATAACACATCCTCATCTAAAGTCATGTTGACTTATATTCGAAATTTGAGGATTATGGCTATAAAATATGAAAATCACCTCTGTCTGGCAGGTGCGCACAATAACTCTCGAAGAGGGTATTCCATTTGGTTCAATCTTGGTACATCGTTATATTATTGTCAAACGTAAATCGAGTTCGGAGAGTGGCAATATCGGTCTACCCGTTCTGGTACCTCCCTAACAAAATATAAAAATTTTCAAAGAAAATAATTTACTTTTTGTTGTTGCAAAATGGTCAGGCATAATCCCTTTTTTGTTGTTTTTATAAAAACAACGCTTGTTTATTAGTGGAGAACGATGGTAATATAAGGCAGGGAAGGGATATTATCTGAGATATTACCCGCTGGTAAACATTACCATCGTTCTCCACTAATTAACAAACGTTGTTTTTATAAAAACAGCAGTAAAGGGATTAAGCCTGACCATTTTGCAACAACAAAATACTATGTTATCCCGAACAAACAAGCCAACACTGTTCTGAAAATAATTTACCTCAGAGGAAAGAATGAAAATCGAAGTATTCTGATTTCGTGCAAACTTTGAAAATCCCAATAATCTTATCAGTGCTAAGTCAGGTGTGAAAATGGACAATACTCGTATCCGCCCACTTCATTAAGTACCTCCTCCACAAAGAGTCAAAATGTTATCTAATTATAACTCTTTTTAAAAAGGGTCCGATAGTCTTCAAACTTTACACATCTCAATACTTTTATCAACACAAGATGAAGGTATGGAGATGGGATATATCGGGTTACTTGTATCTTCCCAACAAAGGTCAACATTTTGAATAATCGTCTCTTTAGAATATATAGTCCCGAGGTCTTCAAATTTCACACAACCTAATACTTTTACAAGATTTAATATTAAGAACAGATAAAGCGGACCACTCCTACTGGTACCAAACACCCAATAAGGGATCTGATCAATGGGCCAACTCCTTGTGGTGCCTTCTCCACAAAAGTTGAAAATGTTACCCTTTTTGGTAGGATTTTTCACAAATACCGCCTTAAGTAGCATCTGGGATCAATAGTGTGCCACAGGCAAAATTTAAAGATCCTTAGTCCGCAAACTCAACCTCAGCTTATTCCACTGTGACCTACGTTCGAAATTTGAGGAAAATGAAATTTACCCCCAAACATACAGTTTTAATAGGGAGTTATTTTTTGAGGGGCTAGACAGTATACAGACTATTTGAATATCAAGGTGTTACAGTTAATGCGAGGAAGCCTACATCATTAACCAGGTATAAAATGTAGACGAGAAAAAGACAAACAAATTGGATTTGAAGATATTATGTCCATAACGACGGGACAAAGGTCATTATATTTCTGGTTAATTGGTGTAGACGGGCTGAAACCATTGACCCTTAACTGATGAGATTTGGAGTCTGCTGAGACTTTTTTTAAAAATTGTGGACCAGAGAGTCGTTATACATGAACGGAGGGCTGGATAGTGTAAAATGTTTAGAAAAAATGCCCCGAGGTGAGCCGAAGGAATTTTTTCAAGACCTATTAACTGATTGTTTTATGGACCAAAAACTATATTTTCATATAAGGAATGCTCATATATTTTATTAGCAAGAAAATCTGTATAGAAGGGCTGAAAGACCCCTTTGTCATGGGGTCTAATAAAGTTCAAAAACGAAAAAACTAGATTTTTAAAAGAAAAAAATTGCGATTATTTCTTTCCAAATGTAATGAGCAAAGGTGGCCTGAAGAAAAGCTTCAAACCCTCTTTAGCTGATTATTTCCATGACCCTTTTGAAATAAAGATTTAAGCCTCACACCCATATTTTTTTGCAACCAAAATTTATTTCTCAACCGTCTAGAGTGACAATATTTGCCAAGATAATCAAATCGGTTTGTTGTTTGAAGATTGCTTCTCTTACTTTTGTTGTTTTTGTTATGTTTCCAATGTTTGCTATTGTCCGATACTTCTCTATTTCCCCTAATCAGCTTAGATATATCTTAGTTAAATACCATGAATTGCGTCAAGATCACCAACATCATAGCACCACAATGTTTTAGGGTTATGTAGCAACAACAACAAAAACAAAGGCTAACATCCAACAGCCCCCACAATGTCTAAAGCCGGAGCAGAAACAAAAACAACAATAAAAGTGAAAAACATCTCAACAACAACATTAGCATCTCACGAAACACGAAGCAACAAACAAGACACCATCGGAACATTCATTGCCAGTCCGTACGCCAGTTAGTCCGCCAGCCAGTATAAATGGTCGGCTGGACATCCAACAAAGGCCTCCCAACCGACCGCGAATGAATTTTTTACAAAGAAAATGAACAACAACTAAACAAAACGTTTTGAAGATTTTTCGAGGCAGATTACTAAACGGACACAATGAAAAACGAAATCAAAGCAATTTTCAAATGGACAACAAGAAGAAGAACTACAAGAAAAAAAGAACACCCATCTAACAACAAAATAAATAAACGATTGGTGGTGTTGACGATCCTGACGATGAAGACGACAAGAACATTAGGAATTGGACAAAGAATCAAAGTTCCGACAGAACAGATCAAAGGCTTTGGAATTTGATGTTTATGGAGAGGGAGGTAAAAGAGGGAGTTGAATAATTAAATACGGAATAGGCTTAGAATAAGATGAGAAGAAATATAAAGACTCTCTGGGCCACCAGCACGACTATAGAGACTCTCTGGCCCGAGCAGCTCGTCTATAGAGACTCTCTGGCCCGACCAGCTCGTCTATAGAGACTCTCTGGCCCGACCAGCTCGTCTATAGAGACTCTCTGGCCCGACCAGCTCGTCTATGGAGACTCTCTGGCCCGACCAGCTCGTCTATGGAGACTCTCTGGCCCGACCAGCTCGTCTATAGAGACTCTCTGGCCCGACCAGCTCGTCTATAGAGACTCTCTGGCCCGACCAGCTCGTCTATAGAGACTCTCTGGCCCGACCAGCTCGTCTATAGAGACTCTCTGGCCCGACCAGCTCGTCTATAGAGACTCTCTGGCCCGACCAGCTCGTCTATCGAGACTCTCTGGACCGACCCGCTCCATCATTGAGACTCCCTGACCACCAGCTGTTCTATTGAGACTCCCTGAGCCTTCAGCTCGTCTATAGAGACTCCCTGAGCCTTCTGCTCGTCTATAGAGACTCCCTGAGCCTTCAGCTCGTCTATAGAGACTCCCTGAGCCTTCAGCTCGTCTATAGAGACTCCCTGAGCCTTCAGCTCGTCTATAGAGACTCCCTGAGCCTTCAGCTCGTCTATAGAGACTCCCTGAGCCTTCAGCTCGTCTATAAAGACTCTCTGGCCCGACCAGCTCGTCTATAGAGACTCTCTGGCCCGACCAGCTCGTCTATAAAGACTCTCTGGCCCGACCAGCTCGTCTATCGAGAGTCTCTGGCACACCAGCTCGTCTATTGAGACTCCCTGGTTTCCAGCTCGTTTATTGAGACTCCCTAGCTTCCAGCTCGTTTATTGGGCCTTCCTAGCCTCCAGCTCGTCTATTGAGACTTCCTAGCCCCCAGCTCGTCTATTGAAACTTTCTGGCCCCCAGCTCGTCTATTGAGACTTCCTAGCCCCCAGCTCATCTATTGAGACTTCCTGGCCCCAGCTCGTCTATTGAGACTCCCTGGCCCCCAGCTCGTCTATTGAGCCTCCCTAGCCTTCAGCTCGTCTATTGAGACTCCTTGGCCTCCAGCTCGCCTATCGAGACTCCCTGGCCTCCAGCTCGTCTATCGAATGGCCTTCAGCTCGCTTATCGAGACTCCCTGGCCTCCAGCTCGTCTATAGAGACTCCCTGGCCTCCAGCTCGTCCATAGAGACTCCCTTGCCTCCAGCTCGTCTATTGAGACTCCCTGTCTTTTTAGCTCCTCTTTTGAGACTTCCTGAGCTCCGGCTCGTTTATCGAGACTCCCTGCACTTTCAGCTCGTCTATAGAGACTCCCTGGCCTCCAGCTCGTCTATAGAGACTACCTGGCCTTCAGCCCCTCTATTGAGACTTCCTGGCCTCCAGCTTGTCTATCGAGACTCCCTGCCCTTTCAGCTCATCTATTGAGACTCATTGGCCTCCAGCTCGTGTATAAAGACTCGGCTCGTTTATTGTAGACCTCATAACCCTCCTTCACCATTTTGATGAATAAGTTCTTGGTCCTCCATTCTCCTCACCTGAAGCTGTAACACATTTGTCATATTTATTCTTCTTAGCTTGTGGTTTTATGAGTTGGCACATGATTCTAAATGGTGTGACAAATAAAGATCACCCAGTCATCATTAATATTCTTCTTAATTGATGATGGCTCAATGGACCGACCGACCGATCGACTGGCCTAGACGCTTGTGCCGCTGTGACAGATGACAACAGTAAAACAAAATGGAAAGGTTGTTTTGTTTTGTTGTTGTATTAGCATAATTGCATTTTGCTGTGGTCCAAATCGGGTTTCCCTTCAAGTGAACGTAGGTGTCTACCACTGCCCAAGCGCTTCTTATGCGACAATAAAGATGAGCGGGCAGCTTCCTTCCCTTTCAAAGGTTTTGTTTATTTGGTCATCTTTTCTTCTGCTGTTTCTTGAATGAGTTAATTACGAAAGCGCGACGAATGTTAGTGGGCTTTTTGGACATAACAAAACAATATATCGGCACATTGTACAGAGTTATGTTGTGTGTCTTTCCGTCCGTCTGTGGTTCGGTGTGATAGTGATATCGCTGGGTCGTTTGTTCTTCTCGCCACCACGGATGAATATTGGGACACTTGTGGCAACGCCTACATAAACACAATTAAGCATTAATATTCATTCAAACAAGATACGAACGACGTCATGACCAAACGCTTGCTCGGCGGACAGGCAGACAAGAAAACAAACAAGTGGATGGATGGATGGATGACACCGAGAATCCATCGATCCATCGAAAACCCCAAAAACACATACGCACTTATTAAAAAAATATTTGTATATCTTTGAACAAAAACAAAACAACAAAGAAAACGAAAAATCGCTTTTTAACCAAAACCCATGACAAATGATGAGTTAGATAGCCGCTGTACACCCGCCTGCTTGCTGGCTAACTGGTCCCGTTCACAAAACTCCGAGAGATCAACTCGCCCCCTTACCAAAAAAAAAAAAAACAAACAAAGATATCGGCAATAGATGACAATGGAATTGACCGCCTCAGTGGTTATTGATATTGGTTATGATCAGCGGAGACAGCTCAGAGAGAAGAAGAAGAATATGGATGGCTAGCTGGCTGGTAGTGGTGTCAAGCATTATGACAACATAAACAATGTATGTGTAGCATGGATATTTAAATTCCTTTTTTCATGGTACCCTACACTATGGGAAGGAGGGTATATCCGACTTGATAAAGAAGACTCACGGGCTTTTAACTCTTCTATTGAGATACCATGGGCAGGCTCGCATATGGTAGGTCACTGGCCTTCTGTTTCTCAATATAGACTTCCGGGCCTTCAGCATGTCGATATGGAAACCCATCTCCTCCAGCTTGTCTATTAAAACCCCCTGGACCTGGTATTAAGAGACTACCTAGTCCTTGGATTGTCGATATAGATCCCCCGGCCTTCAGCTGGGCGATATTAACTTCCTGGCCTTCAGCTCGTAGAAATAGAACATCTACAGACTTTCTAGCTTCAGCCTGGGACTTCAGGCCTGACTTCAGGCTTCAGGACTTCAGGTTTCACCCCTGGACTTCAGCTGGTCGATATAATAGCTTTAAACTCGCCGATATAGACTCCCTGGTCTTAAACTCGTCGATATAGACTTCCTTCATCTTGGATTTCAGGCTTCAGGGCTTCAGACCTGGACTTCAACTGGTCGATATAAACTCCCTGGCCTTAAACTCGTCGATACAGACTCCCTGGTCTTCAGCTCGTCGATATAGACTTCCTAGCTTCAGCCCTGGATTTCAGGCTTCAGGGATTCAGACCTGGACTTCAACTGGTCGATATGAACTCCCTAGCCTTAAACTCGTCGATACAGACTTCCTGGTCTTCAGCTCGTCGATATAGACTCCCTAGCTTCAGCCCTGTATTTCAGGCTTCAGGGCTTAAGAACTGAACAGGTCAATATAAACTCCCTGGCCTTAAACTCGTCGATATAGACATCCTAGGATTTCAGGCTTCAGGGCTTCAGACCTGGACTTCAACTGGTCGATATAAACTCCCTGGCCTTAAAATCGTCGATACAGACTCCCTGGTCTTCAGCTCGTCGATATAGACTTCCTAGCTTCAGCCCTGAATTTCAGGCTTCAGGGCATCAGACTTGGACTTCAACAGGTCGATATAAACTCCCTGGCCTTAAACTCGTCGATATAGACTCCCTAGCTTCAGCCCTGGATTTCAGGCTTCAGGGCTTCAGACCTGGACTTCAACTGGTCGATATAAACTCCCTGGCCTTAAACTCGTCGATACAGACTCCCTGGTCTTCTGCTCGTCGATATAGACTTCCTAGCTTCAGACCTGGACTTCAACAGGTTGATATAAACTCCCTGGCCTTAAACTCGTCGATATAGACTCCAAAGTCTTCAGCTCGTCGAAATAGACTCCCTAGTCTTTAGCTCGTCGATATGGACTCCAAAGTGTTCAGCTCGTCTATATAGACCCCCTGGCCTTCATCTCGTCTATTGATACTCTATTGAGATTGGCCTTCAGTCCGCCGATATAGACATCCCAGCTTCAGGCCGCCGATATAAACTTCCTTCACTTCAGCTGGTCAATATAAACTCCCTGGCTTAAACTCGTCGATACAGACACCCTGGCCTTCAGATCGACGATATAGACTTCCTAGCTTCAGCCCTGGATTTCAGGCTTCAGACCTGGGCTTCAGGCTGCAAACCTGGACTTCAACTGGTCGATATAAACTCCCTGGCCTTAAACTCGTCGATATAGACTCCCTTGTATTTAGCTCGTCCATATTGACTTCCTAGTCCTCAGCTCGTCGGCTTTCATCTGGTCTATTGAGACTCACTCCCTGGCCTTAAACCCGACGATATAGAATTCCTAGCTTCAGCTCGTCTATATAAACTCTCTTAGCTTCAGCCCCCGATATAAACTCCCTGCACTTCAGCTGGTCAATATCAACTACCGGTCCTTAAATTCTTCGATATAGACCCCCTAGTCTTCAGATAGTCGATGAACTGCCTGTACTTCAGCTGGTCAATATAAACTTCCTGCCCTTAAACTCGTCGATATGGACTACCTGGCCTTCATCTCGTCTATATAGACTCCCTGGTCGTCAGCCCTTCGATATAGATTTCCTAGCTTCAGCCCACCGATATAAACTCCCTGCACTTCAGCTGGTCAGTATGAACTCCCTGGCCTGAAACTCGTCGATATAGACTCCCTGGACTTAAACTCGTCGATATGAACACCTTGGTCTTAATGTTGGATCTCTTTATCTCTCTAACACTTTCACGTATCGCTTCTAGCAGCAAAGGGTGAAACATATTCGTTGGAGCCTAATTCAATGACTTTTCTATAAAATTTGGTGATTATTATTTTTTCTACAAAACACACACACAGCTGCAGGCGCACCCACCGAACCCCTTAGATAAACAATAACATTTTTTTCAAAAAACCAACGCATCTTTTTTTAATATTTGTTTATTGGAAATGAATAAAACGTTAAGTGTTCCCTTTTTCTTCGATTTCGAACTGGACGGCTTTTTTTAGTTTTTGTTTGACCGTTCTTCTACTGTCTTTGAACCGGAAAAAAGAAAACCATCTCTGTTATTCTGAAGAAGAAGCCTAAAATAATATTTTCTCAGTTCGTTGATAGAGTCAATTAAATTTAAATTTAATATGTTTACATTACAATAAATTTTGGTATTTTATGTTTTCAAATGACGGTGTTTGTCGACCGTCTCTTTCTTCTGGGTATTCTTTAGCCATTGTTTGCAGACCAATATGAATTTGGTGTAAATGATCCAGCCCATTTATTTTCTAATGGTTTTAATAATTCTTAGTTAAAAGGCCAGTGATCTCCATTGGAGCTCGCATTAAGTTAATCGTTTTTGGTGACAGCTATCAGAATGAGAATTTGAAATGTTTTACAAAACGTGTGGATAAGATTTGGGGCATTCGAGAGCTGAAAGGTTTTTATTTAATATGGAGAAACTCAATCAGTGAACCAAAAAATATAGAGAAGTTCTTCGAGTTGCTGGGCTACCAAGTCTCAATCAACTCCAATAAATGAGAGTATTTACATACGAGCAGATGGACCAGAGAGTCCCTATAGAGGAATTGAAGGACAGGTCTTTACAGACGAGCTGGAGGGTCACAAAGTATCTATCAACGATGGCGGGCCATAGAGTCTCTATAGCCCCCTATAGAGATAGTCTCTAAAGATTGCCTTTTGGTCAAATAATCTCTATAGAGAGCTGGATGGCAGAGACTCTCAGTAGACCAGCTGAAGAAACTCTCCGTAGACTAGCTGGAGAACAGAGAATATCTGTAAACGACCCAGAGAGTCTCTATAGACGATCTGGCGTACCAAAGAGTCTTTATAGGCGAGCTGGTGGGCCAAAAACTATCTATAAACAATCTGGCGTACCAAAGAGTCTCCAAAGACGATCTGGCGAACCAAAGAGTCTTTATAGACGAGCTGGTGGGCCAAAAAGTATCTATAAACAATCTGGCGTACCAAAGAGTCTCCAAAGACGAGCTGGTGGGCCAGAGAGTCTCTATAGACGATCTGGTGGGCCAGAGAGTCTCCATAGACGATCTGGTGGGCCAGAGAGTCTCCATAGACGATCTGGTGGGCCAGAGAGTCTCCATAGACGATCTGGTGGGCCAGAGAGTCTCCATAGACGATCTGGTGGGCCAGAGAGTCTCTATAGACGAGCTGGTGGGCCAGAGAGTCTCTATAGACGAGCTGGTGGGCCAGAGAGTCTCCAAAGGCGAGCTTGTGGGTCAGTGAGTCTCTACAGACGAGCTGGTGGGCCATAGAGTCTCCATAGACGAGCTGGTAAGCCAGAGAGTTTCCACAGACGAGCTGGTAGGACAGAGAGTCTCTATAGACGAGCTGGTGGGCCAGAGAGTCTCCACAGACAAGCTGGTAGGCCAGAGAGTCTCTATAGACGAGCTGGTGGGCCAGAGAGTCTCCACAGACGAGCTGGTAGGCCAGAGAGTCTCCACAGACGAGCTGGTAGGCCAGAGAGTCTCCACAGACGAGCTGATAGGCCAGAGAGTCTCTATAGACGAGCTGGTGGGCCAGAGAG